TTTTTTTTTATAATGGCTGAGGTATTTGATCCATTGGGATAGCCAAGATATATTTGATCTTGTATGATTGGTGTGCTTCTAAAAATAATAATATAATTTTATTGATTTTGTCTCTTATCCATAATTATTTATATAACTAGTTTTCAACATATATTGTTTTAGTAATTCAAATGGGAGATTTACAAGGAAATAATAAAGGAAAAGGAAAAGAGAAAAAAATATGAAGCTTGGAATAAGGAGGATTCCGATGAATTGTTACAATTGATAGTAGATGCTATAAAAAGAGGATAGGATATTATGGACAATTATTATTATTATTATTTATCTAGACATTATTTTTTTTATATTATTTTTGTCTTTGACTCTTTTTAAATTTGAATGTATGAATTTTTTTTTAAAATCTTATCAAATGTCAAAACTCCACAAAAATTCTACAAAATCCCACAGAATCCATTAAAATCCTGATTTAAAAGTCCTGCAGAATCCATTAAAATCCTGATTTTAAGTCTTATAGAATCCTGCAAAATCTTAAAAGTCATGAAAATCCTGCAAAGTCTTTTAAAATTCACAGAATTTTTTTTAACTAAAAAAGTCCTTTAAAATCCTAATCCAATACACCCTCCTTAGTTAAATATTCTTAAAAGAAATATTGATTGTGATAATTGAATATAACCAAATTTTGATATACTCTTAACAAATCATAATTATCTTAATTAAATATATTTTTTTATATTAAAAAATACTTGATTAAATATCACAAAAAATTAATAATAAAAAAATCTTTTAAAATCCTATAAATCCAATCTAATACACTTCTCATAATTTATTTTATAATTTTTTATATTTTAATAAATTGTTTTTAAATTTAATTATATGTTTTATCAAGTGAATAAATAATTGTGAAGTAAATATATTTCAATATATATTTTAATTAAAAGTATATTTATTTTTTTATAATGAATATCTTTTTATGTTAAGTTAAAAAATATAATTTATATATTTTGAATATTAAAAGAGAGTGATGGTATAATATCCATATCTCTAAAGAGTGATAAAATTATTATTATTATTATTTCCAAATTATAAGGTATTGTCCAGATTTTGTCTAGTACCTATATTTTTATATTAGGGATCCAAATTCTACTTATATTTACTTGGATAGTAGTATTGAGTGAAAGCTACAGCCAAGGGATAAGCATCACCGTCTGGAGTCGTATGAGAGTTCAGAGTCTCAGTTGTGAAGTAACGAATAATTCGAAATTCCTTACTTTTTATGAGAATTTCAAATTCCACCCATTTAGCTTATTAAAATTCCTTTTTAAAATGACAGAATTTCGATTACTTTTTAAATGACTCATCCAAACAACTTATTTTTTAGCAAACTATTTCAAATTCTTTAAAAAAAATGAATTGACCAATTAAATTGATTTCCCCAACACACTATAAAGTGATCATCCAAAACTTTTGGAGAAAAAACTTACGCTAATGTTAAAACCTTAATATAATATTAGTTACCCTTATTTTAAGACAATGTAAAATGACTAAAGTGTCCAAATTTTGGACAAACACTTTTGGAAGAAAAACTTATTTCAACGTCAATAACTTTGTATAATAATATTTTGAAACAACTTAAAATGACTAAATTGTCCAACTTTTGAACCAACAATTTTAGAAAGAGAATTTATTCTTACGTTAGCAACTTTATGTAACAAAATAAAAATCAGAGTTTCAAAATCTCAAGTTTATAAAAAGGCTACACATACAGAAGAAATTAGAGAATGACTCTTGCACGTAAAAAAACATGAAATTTCCCGTGTAGAAGGAATCCATGAATCTTATCAATGTTTGAGGATAACGAAAATCCCCACAGGAAAGATTAAAATGTAGATAATGATGTTGGTTTCAATATGCTAGTGGAATGCCGTAGCAGAGAGACCGTGTTATGCCTATAACCCTCAGCTGAATACCTCATAAAATTTCTCAGTGACAAGTAAACCTGAGTCTATTGACTCCAAGGGATCCTTTCTAAGACGGTGTCTCAAGCAGTTAGGGATAACAGTAGCAACATCCTCTGCACTCACTTTTTCTCTTCCCTTTAGAGCAGCAAGAGCTTTTGCAGCTCTGTTGGTCACTATGTCTCCTCTTAGTCCATCCACATTCAACTCAGCACATACCTTGGAGATTTTCACCTTGAGATCTTGATCAATTTGGACAGAAGAAAGAACACTCCTTGCTGAGGAAATCTGTGTCTGAAGCTTCTCTTGCTCAGCCTTGTAAGAATCGCGAAACTCCTTCGGATTCTTGTCGAACCGAGCTCTCTCCTCCACAATCTTCACTCTTAGCTCAGCATCCCTGACAGTTCCAACTTGAGCATGCATTCCAAACCTGTCTAGCAGCTGCGGCCGGAGCTCACCTTCTTCAGGGTTGCCTGAGCCAATTAGGATGAACCTTGCAGGATGTGAGATGGAAATTCCCTCCCTCTCAACTGTGTTCCACCCTGATGCAGCAGAATCCAACAACACATCCACCAAGTGATCATCCAAAAGGTTAACTTCATCAACATATAGGATTCCCCTATTTGCTTTAGCCAATAGGCCAGGCTCAAACGCCTTCACACCCTCAGTGAGGGCTTTCTCAATGTCAATTGTTCCACACACTCTATCTTCTGTAGCTCCCAATGGCAAATCAACCATGTTAATTTTGGACAACATAACAGGAAGTTGGTCACCTTGAAGTACACGCTCTCTCACTTCAACTCCCATGAATTCTGGATCTTCTGGATCTGAGTTATAGGGGTCACCAGCAACAACCTTGATTTCGGGAAGTAAATCAACCAATGACCTAACTGTTGTGGATTTCCCTGTTCCTCTATCCCCCATGATCATTACACCTCCAATCTTAGGATCAATCACATTAAGGAGAAGGCAGAGCTTCATCTCATCTTGTCCTACTATAGCAGAAAATGGGTATACTGGCCTCTGGCTTTCTTTAGAAGCAGCACTTCGAGCCTGGATATGAGAAGTTTACTGGGTTGGATTCTTGTAAACACACACATAAAGAATCGAAATGCAAAGGCCTAACCCCTAATCCTTAATTTCTGAGAAATCTAGCACTAATTTTGAACTTAAAAAACGTATAGCATAAACTAGGCATTTCGACAAAATGAAAAGGTGCTTTATACTTGCTAGTATTATTTTATCATAAACTTTAGTAAGTTAATTAACTTTCATAAATAACTATTTTTAAAAGTCATAGAAAATATGATTTCTAGTTTATTTGTAATGTAAAAACTTTTACAATAACATAGTATTTGGTTAGAGAAAAATGGAAGAGATGGGAGGAATTCTTATAAACTTTTCTTTCCTTATTTGATTCAATTTTTTAATGAAGAGAAGCAAATGGAAATGGAATGGAGGTTAAAAAAAATCCCTCCTCCATTAAAATCTTTCCTCTCCTATTAACAAACAATTAATCTAGAGTACACCTAGTAGTATGGCAATGGCAGTATCTCCACCGAATGCAATCAAAAGACAAGCAAAGACACCGAAAGAAATCCAATATCCTATCTACCTGTTCCACAGAGTTAACTTCAGTGGCAACACTGGCAACCGAGAACTGAGACCTTCCCTTTATGCCATGGATTCGAATTCCTCCATAAAACTTGCGCCCAGAGCTCTGCCCTGCAAAGTCTCAACCATTCAACTTAGACACATGATGGCCACAAGGACCCACCTTCCATTTCCAGTTACAAACTCCCCAAGGCAAAATAAAATCACAACTTTAGCACAGAGAAATAACATACATGAAATGGGTCTAGCGCACACCCTCCAAAACAGCTAAACTAGAGATTAAATGCCAAAAACAAAGGAAAAAAGCATAGACTTTGCAATGCAATGTACCTGATGTTAGAGAGAGAGTGTGAATGGAAGGCTTGGAAGAAGGAGAAGAGAGGTAGCGCGAAGGAAGAATCGCAATTGAAGAAGTGCCCAATGTGGACGCCATAACCGGAGAAGAGAGGGAGTATGAGCTACGCAGCAGTTTCTTTCTTTTGTCTTTTATTCACCATTCATTGCAGCTGGCATGCTTCCTATTGGCCTCCCACCTTCGGATAAGAAGATAGATAGATTTCATTCTACTTTCACTCTCTCTCTCTCTCTCTTCTCTTTTTTTTTTTTATTTATTATTATTTTTTTAAATTATTAGTATCCCTACATCTTTGATTTTAAGTCGTAATCAAGCTTTAAGATTAAACGGTGATATGTAATTATTTTGGTTAGGGTTAAATAGTCTCTATCAAGTCAATATGTTGTAAAATTTTAATAAAAATGTACATGCAATTGATTCAAAACTTGACAATAAAAAGTAGTAATATAAGTTTTGTGATCATTAGACTATTTTTCTTTGCCACAAAAGCACTGGAATTACGTGGCCTTCTTAGTTTCCTATAATTGAAGTCGAATCCGTTGAGCCTTGGGCCATCGGAGCAAAACTAGAATTCACATGGCGCAGATGCAGGTTGGAATTTTGGGGGTGGATTATAAGAATTGATAATTAATTGCATCAGTTTTGGGAGAGCATTGGCATTCAACTCTAAGATAAATTTTAGCCAGATGGTCCAAAAGCATAAGAACTAGATCGACCTTTTTAGGAGCAGTTCTAATTAACCAATCAATACATTTACATTTTCCAATTTTTTGAAGAAAAAATAATTTTATTAAAGATTTTTGTCGAAAAAAGAGTAATTTTGGATTTTAAATGAATACCCATCATATTAGTGATAATATATAAGTCCTAAGGCTAAGCAATATATATATTTTCAATAAATTATTTATTTCGATAAATTATTTTTTCAATAATTTATTTTAACAATTACTTTTTTTATAAAATTTATAAAGGTTAAAAAGCCTTTAATTTAAGTGGCAAAAGCAAAAGAAATAGTTGAATTAAAAATTAATATTGTTTTGAACCGTATACGAAAACTTATTGTCTAGAACCCCAAGCCCAAACAACAAATAAATAAAATATGTTGGTCCATTAATATAAAGCCCAATTATCTAGCTATGGTCGAACTCTTGCCAAAGGTCAAGAATTATTTGACCTACATCATGACCTATGTAGGCGTGAAAGACGTCATCATACACTTGAAATAATACCTACACTCAATTGCATGAATCTTATAATAACTCTTAAGAATAAGATTCATACCCTGGAATAAGTGTTTATAATTTTGATTACACGACATTATTGGGAGAAGAGTTTCATGTGTTGTCTGAAAGCAGGCAAGGCAGGCTCTCTCAAATTGACCAAAACCTGGAAGCCCTCCCTCTTCCCTGGAGTGGCTGTAGAATAAGGCAAAAAGAAGCAAGGCTCGAGACTCCCAAGTAGGTTCCTTCCGAGGGGTAAAACAGTAACTGGGCCTCCCCACCCAAAGTCCACAGTGGAATGGCCCAAGTGCCTCCAATCAGTGAACCCACTCACCTCTCTTCCCGCTGTGATCCCATCCCCAAAATGCAGCTCCTGGTAATCGATGTAGGACCGAACGTACTCATCACTCACATTACTTTTGCTCTTTTTTATCAACTCTGCAGTTTCCCAAATGGGTTTCTCTATCAAATCTTTGGCACTAAGCTCAACATACATTGGCACACAACCGTTGCCCCAATAGCCAGCAGGCAGTGATGGCTTTACCAGTCTCCGTATGTTAATTGAGTAAGCAAACTTAACCTTCTCATGACCCTCCACTCCAGAGGCCAGGACCCTGTCTCAGCAATTAATTATAAAAAAATAAAATAAAAAAAAGAATTTTAATGACTGAGTCTGAGACACTTACTTGGCCCTCCAAATGTAGGCACCAAGAGCCTCAAAAACAGTGAAGTTAGAGCCAGAGTTCTGGAACAAGGAGCTCTTGAAGTTGTCCAACCACTCATTCCTCACGTGAAAGGACTCTCTCGCCACATTGCCAACGTCTTGTTGATACGGCAAAGCCCCTTTCTCCAAACGCAGAAACTCTCCAACCAGCGCCGAATCAACCCGGGCCGCTTCCCTGGGGCCCAACAACCTTGACCGCTCCCAAACGGCCTCCGCCGTTATCCGGGCGGCGCCGCGCGCCAGCTCCGCCACCGCATTGAAGAAGATGGTCCCGCCCATGCCGTCGCAGAGCGCGTGGTGCATGGCGGCGCCCAGGGTGAACCCGCCGCACGCGAACACCGTCACCTGGAGCGCGCACGGGTGCTCCATGGCCTCCTCGGGTCCCGGGTCGGGCGCCAGGTGCTCCGCGAAGGGGGAGGCCGGGTCGTCGAGGTGGTGCACGGAGTCGAGGGTGAAGTCGGCGGCGGCGCGGACGAGGGGGACGCCCTGGGCGGCGGCGCACCAGAGCTCGAGGCGGCGGGGGTGGTGTTGGCGGTGGCGGAGGGTTCCGGCGAGGGGGTAGAAGTGGGGGAGGGCGCGGGCGAGGGCGGCGGCGATGACGTGGAAGGGGTCGAGGGAGGTTGTTGCGGCGGTTGAGACGTAGGCGCGGAGGTAGCGGAAGGTGAGGTGGAGATTGGGGTCGGTGTCGAGGTGGGAGAGAGGGAGAGGGTGGTCGTGGGTGAAGGGTGGGTGAGAAGGGAAGATGAGAGTGCGGTGTGAGATTTTGATCCTTTCCATGGTTGTAAACTGTGATGTTGTTGTTCTTGTTTATGTTTCTTTTATTGCTGTGTTTCCACAACCTCGGAGTCACTGTCTCACACCAAACCAAGAGGCAGAGGCATGACTCGTGATCGTGAATATGGGAGACGACGTGGAACATGCTGCATCCCATGATTTCACCCACCACACCCCACTCACTACTAACACCTATGCCCGGATTGCTTCCGATTCTATATTTTCATTCCATTACCAATTTTCCTTCAATTTGTTCAAGTTTTTTTTTGTTTCTAATCTCAAATTCGATTCAATTATATTTAATTTGGATTGATCAGTTAATTAAACTACTTATAATTTTTTTTTTAATTACATTAAATAAATTGTAAAACATACTTTTATTTCATCAATATTTAATATTACAAACGTGTTTATTGATATTAGAAAGTCCTACTAAATTATTAAAAATTACAAACTTAAAAAATACATTTATACAATATCACAATTTATAAAATGTATTATATATTATTCTTAACATTTATAAGTTCAACAATATATTTTACGTGATTATAACTAATATCACAAAAATTTAAACATGTAATTAGTATTCAACTTTTATAAACAAGAGTCACTCACAATGAAACAAACAAAAAAATTTGAATTTCATTTTTGTCTTTTGATGCTAAATAAACATTATGATTTCAAACAAAAAAACAAATAGGTTAAATATAATATTTATTCCTTCTTTGTTTTTTATTTGTAGTCCAAATTTGATAACCCAAAATAATAATTATAATAATCAAAATCAAAATCTAAAATTCAAATCAAATTAATTAAATTTTTAATTTTTAAATCTAAATCAATAGGATAGTCTAAATTAATCCCATTTTCTCATTTTGAATTAGAATAAATTCATTAGATCATCAAATTGGATGGATGTTTAGTCACTCTACCGACACCAATCACTCACTCCCCCAACCATAATATATTGAAAAAGAAAATTATTGTTTGATCTTGGTTAGGTTAATTTTGAAGTTTGAATTTAATTTTTAAGCATTAAATATTTAATTATATTTTAAATAAAAGTCAACAATTTTATTATGTGTTTTAATTTCTGATCAAATAATATTGTATAAAAAATATTATAAATGTATTTTAATTATACTATAAATACATTTTAATTAAATTTTTGTTATATTATGCTTCATTTTTTTTAGAAATATTAAATTGTTTTATTTACTTAATGTTTGTTACTAAATAATAAATAGAATAGATATATTTGATTTTGTTATCTTAATGTATAGTACGAGAAAATTTAATTGTTATAATAACTATTAATAATAGTTAACATATTATTCATATTTAGTGTTATTAAATAATTAACGTGTACAAATTTCTTACGTTGTTAAATATAAAAGAAAATGAAAGGAAAAAAAATAACATAAATATATATATATA